GCAGTGCATAAGAGTTCCCATCTCCCCGCAGCCCCTCCAACATTTGTTATTTCCAGTGTTTTTGATTCGTGCCAGTAATGCCAGGGTGAGACCTTCCATCTTTTGATGCTTCTTGTGTCGTTCAGTATTTTGCCCAGAGAATCCTTCAGTATGCACCTCAAGGCGAGAATTTTTTCTTTAGTTCTTTCAGCTTGAGAAATGCTGACTGTGCTCTTCCCTTTTGGCTTTCTAAGTCCAGGTCTTTGCATGTTTCATGATAATACTTTGTCTTCTCGAGCTGCCCTTTGTAGTCTTCTGTTCAGCTTTTACTTCATCATTTCCATTTGCTTTAGCTATTGTATGTTCGAGAGCAAGTTTCAGAGTCTCTTCTGGCATTCATTTTGTTCTTTTCTTTCTCTCCTGCTTTTTAATGACCTCTTGCTTTCTTCATGGATGATGTCCTTGATGTCATCCCACAACTTGTCTGGTTTTTGGTCATTAGTATTCAGTGCATCAAATCTGTTCTCGAGATGGTCTCTAAATTCAGATGGGATATATTAAAGGTTATACTTTGGCTCTCGTGGACTTGTTTTAATTTACTTTAGCTTGTACTTCAACTTGCATGTGAGCAGTAGATGGTCTGTTTCGCAATCTGCGCCTGTCCTTGTTCTAACTGATGATGTCAAACTTCTCCATTGTCCCTTTCTACAGATGTAGTTGATTTGATTCGTGCAGATTCCATCCAGCAGGTCCACGCGTATAGTCATCATTTATGTTATTGATAAAAGATAACTGCAATGAAGAAGTCATTGGTCTTGCTCTCCTGCATCATTTCTGTCACCAAGGCCATATTTTCTAACTACTGATCCTTCTTTTTTGTTTCCAACTTTTGCATTCCCATCACCAGTAATTGTCAATACATCTTGATTGCATGTTTGGTCAATTTCAGACTACAAAAGTTGGGAAAATCTTCAGTTTCTTCTACTTTGGCTTTAGTGGTTGGTGTGTAAATTCGCTTAGTAGTCATATTAACTAATCTTCCTGGTAGGTGTATGGATATTATCCTATCACTGGCAGTGTTGTACTTCAGGATAGATCTTGAAATGTTCTTTTTGACAATGAATGTGATGCTTTTCCTCTTCAAATTTGTCATTCCCAGCATAGTAGACTATATGCTTGTCTGATTTAAAATGGCCAATACCAGTCCATTTCAACTCACTAAAGCTTAGGGTATCGATCTTCAAATGTTCGATTTCATTTTTGACAACTTCCAGTTTTCCTAGATTCATACTCTGTGCACTCCATATTCCAGTTGTTAACAGATGTTTGCAGCTGTTTCTTCACATTTTGATTCATGCTGCATCAGCAGATGAAGACCTTGAAAGCTTTACTCCATCCATGTCATTAAAGTCAACTCTACTTTTAGGAGGCAGCTCCTCCCAAGTCATGTTTTGAGTGCCTTCCAACCTAAGGGGCTCATCTTCTGGCAATATATCAGACAGTATTCTACTGCTGTTCATAAGGTTTTCACTGGCTAATTTTTATCAGAAGTAGATTGTCAGGTTCTTCTTCCTAGTCTGTCTTAGTCTGGAAGCTCTGTTGAAACCTGTCCATTATGGGTGACCCTAGTGGTATTTGAAATACCAGTGGCATACTTCCAGCATCACAGCAACGCAAGCCAGTACAGTATGACAAACTGACAGACAACTGGTTCATACTGTTGGTAAAATCATGCCTCCAGAAATATAATAAAAATAGAAGTTAATACTTCTCAAGATTTTAGTCCTGTTCTCCAGTCTAATCTCTAAACTTGCTGTACTTTAAATTTGTTTTTTATTCTGCATTTTCACTTAATGTAGGTAGAATAAGAATGTGAATGTCATTACTAGCAGAATAATGGTAATATTTTATTAGTAAGTTTAGTTTAATTTTTCATCATATAAAAATCGTGTTATTAATGGTCACTTTATGTCTCTTTAATAAGTAATTGCACATTTCACCCTAGCAGCCAGTCCTACCTGCTGGCCACCACTAAAATTGCTATCTTTTAGAAATTAAAAAAAAAAAAACACAAAAAAACACCACTGCTGTTGAGTCAATTCCGACTCATAGCAACCCTACAGGACAGAGTAGAACTGCCCCATAGGGTTTCTAACGAGTGCCTGGTAGATTCGAACTGCTGAGCTTTTGATTAGCAGCCGAGCTCTTAACCACTGTTCTGGGACATATGATAGTAAAACCTGTGTAAGTCAGAACCTATGTAAGGCAGAAACCTGTCAGAGAAGGAGAATGCAAATATTTTTCACTAATCAAGAGCAAAGGTGGAAAAGTTGTGAGACCTCAAAAAACAAGGCAGTCCTGTCAGGTTCCAGCTCTCACAGGTTTCAGTGTATAAAGTAAAAGGACAAATGTAAACTGGGTGACAAAGGTTGTATTTTAAAAGAAAGAGAATTATATTTGTGTTTTAGCTCATATTAATGTGAATAAATTCTAATGGGTTATGCTACATTAGTGATTTAATTCTGAAAGTGAATTTATTTTATAAAGAAACATGCTGGATTCTTTAAAGAGAGAAGGTGTCCTTTGGTATTTCGTTAAAATGTAAAATTATAGTTATTGACCAAAATGTTTAATTTTGTTGTTATATATTTTAATTATATGAAAAAGTGTTAGAATTTTCCCTTTACTTCTGTAAGTTGTGCTAATTCCTGAAAACTAAATTCAACTGTTTTAGCTGATATTTTTTAAAGACACAACAGGAGGATGATTTTCAAGCTGAGTATTTCCAAATAGAATTATAAAATATGATCCGTGCTTACACATCTCTGTAAAATAAAATACAAAGAGAGGCCTTTTTTCCTTGTATTAATTTGTTCTTATGTATGGGAAAGTGAATTCCTTTTTCAGTATGTTGTTTATAAGGGAAAAAGCATGCCTTCTTTTTTTCTGTTTGTATTTCAGCACCACCACCTCCACCACCCTCAAGGGGAGGGCCGCCGCCTCCTCCTCCCCCTCCACATAGCTCAGGCCCTCCTCCTCCTCCCGCCAGGGGAAGAGGTGCTCCTCCTCCTCCACCTTCAAGAGCTCCCACTGCTGCACCTCCACCACCACCTCCTTCCAGGCCAAGTGTGGGAGTCCCTCCACCACCGCCAAATAGAATGTACCCGCCTCCACCTCCAGCCCTTCCCTCCTCAGCACCTTCAGGGCCGCCGCCACCACCTCCACCTCTGTCAGTGGCAGGATCGGTGGCACCGCCCCCACCACCTCCACCTCCTCCTCCACCCGGGCCACCTCCTCCCCCTGGCCTCCCTTCTGACAGCGACCATCAAGTTCCGCCTCCTGCAGGAAACAAAGCAGCTCTTTTAGATCAAATTAGAGAGGGTGCTCAGCTAAAGAAAGTAGAACAGAACAGTCGGCCAGTGTCCTGCTCTGGAAGGGATGCACTTTTAGACCAGATACGACAGGGTATCCAACTGAAATCTGTAAGTAATCTCTTCTTATTTGAGATCATCTGCATAATGGAGTTTTAAAGTAATTTATATGAAATCTTTACAAAGTTTATCTTTTTTTTTACTTTTTCTCTTGCCATTTAGTTTTCAATCCTATTCTTTTTTATTTTTATTTGGTCAAATGCACAGATTTTAAGTTCTGTTTTGATAAATCACTATACCTGTGGAACCCATACTACTATATCACTTGTACCTCAAAAGTAGCCATAGACAGTATGAAAACAAATGGGCATGATTGTGTTGTAATAAAACTTTACTTATGGACACTGAAATGTGAATACCCATATAATTTTCACATGTCACAAATTTTTTTTCTCTAACTATCTAAGAATATAAAAACCATTCTTAGCTTTAGGTCATACAAAACCAGAGGGCAATATGGATTTAGCCCATGGGGTGACGCTGTCCTAAATCCTGCGTTCACATACTTTCTTTATATGTAGTCTCTTACTTCCAAGCGGAACATTTGTTTTCTACAGGGCTTCAGACAGGTGATGGATGGTAGATTTTTCTAGAAAGTGAGTGGAGATGAAAGGAGAATGCAACTGAAAATTATTTTCGATACTGTATAGGTAATTATAGTAACCTTTTTGATGTTAAGGAGACCCTGGTGGTGTAGTGGTTAAGTGTTACGGCTGCTAACAAAAAGGTCAGCAGTTTGAATCCACCAGGTGCTCCTTGGAAATCCTGTAGGGCAGTTCTACTCTGTCCTATAGGGTCACTATGAGTCAAAATCGACTGGACAGCAACGGGTTTGGTATTTTTGGTTTCTATGTCAAAAGCTTTGGCTATGAGGAGAGTGGTGGGTAGAAAACACAGCCAATTTAATGAAACTATTTAAACATTAGCATAATGGACTTAAGAAACTTCTGCTTTTTAAACCAAAGCTAGATCTTTTCTTGATGTGTATTCAGAACAGGACTTCATATTGGGTTCCTTCAGGTTCCAAGGCCTGCTGAGATTTGCATTTCTAACAAGTTCCCTGCTGAGAATTTGCATTTCTACTGCAGATAATACTGAATCAGAATCTACATTTTAACAAGATCCCCAAGTAATTCTTATCTATAACTTCCTGGGAAATTCTCAGCAGGGAACTTGTTAGAAATGCAAATTCTGAGCAAGGGTTAGTTAGAACCAGAACAACTGGTTTGAAGCCCTGATTCAGAACGACACTTAGACCAGCCTGTGCACAGTCATTTCTGCCTGCTCCCTCCATTTAATTCAGATTCAGGGTTTCTTAGGAGCAGTTGAAGAGCTGTGAACAGTGCTTAAGGGCAAAATTAATGTCAAAATGACCACAGGCCAGGTGAATAACAGGCTTTAATAGGGCTATTTATTCACAGCTAACTTTTATGTTAGAATCTATGCTTCTCCCTATGTCCCTTTCATTCCGCTCTTTCTCACACCTAACCTACCTTTTAGTCATCCTTTTCTCTTTCCTCTCTCCTCCACAACCAACTTTTGTTTCTTTCTCTCATTCAGCTATGATAAGAAGGTGTTATATTTTTAATAAAGTCGTGTCCTCTTTTCTCAATTTAAAAAAGTTGGTGACTTCAATTTCCTGTTTACCCTCCCCATCACTCTTTCCCAGCCCAACTCTACCCACAGATGAAAGCAAACAAGCAATCAAAAACACCTGTAACTTGATCTCTAAATTCTCTTTAGAGGGAAAGTATGTTTTCCATTCTAAGTGTAGGCTAGTAAGCCATTTTTATCCTGAATAATCACTTCCATTTTTACTGTATTCAGAGTATTATCATAGAGGACATAATCAGTGAATTATTGGCATGTTATACATTTGATCTAAGCCTACACATTTACTTCATTTTTTAAAAAATAACCATTCTGTGGTTGAAATTTCTCTGGCCATGTTTTTTTTTTATTTTTAGCATAAATCATCAGTTTTTTCTGTGATGAATAGGTCTGACATAAACCCATTGAATTACTTTAAAGAGCTAGCAAGAGGTATATACGTATTCACTTACATATATTTTGAATTCCATGTTTATAGTGCCTCAAATAGCATTGTGTACAAGTAAGTAAGAACTTTAGAAACGTCTTTGATAGCAGTATTGTGCTGCTGCTTTGTATTCTCAGACTGTTTGAATGGTATCTAAGTGTTTCCCTTTGTTGCTGTTATATTTCTTTGAAAGCCACCTCATGCTGAAATTTAAAACTCTGAAACTATTTTTGTTATCTTTTTCATTTGGGGGCACTTCGACACCAATAATAGTTAATATGTTGTTGTGTACCATCAAGTAAGTTGATTCTGACTCATATATAACCCATAAAAACCTGAGTACTAATGAGTGAGTCTGTATCTTGTGGGGAGTTACTTTGAATGTTTTTAAAAGAAAAAAGTATCTAGCCCAAACAAGGGATACTAGGGAAAGATGTGTAAATACCAAAATGAAAAGTTTGTCCTAATGAAATAATTTTTCTTTGGGAGATAATTTGGAATTTTTATATTAAATAGTTACTTAAAATGTATATTTAAAAACTTGTATAATTATTTAATACAGTTCTATTGCATTTTTAATTATACCAATATTATACCTTTTATATGGCTAATAGAAGTCCAAAGACAAAATTAACAAATGAATATGTAAAAATTGCTACTCATTTTAGTCAAAGTGCATTTGGAGCAGTACTTTCTAAATTACATATTTTTTTTTCCCAATCCCCTACAGACTTCCAGTATTTTCTCTGTCTTTTTTAAATAATAATTGAGTTTTTGGTGAAAGTTTACACATCAAGTTAGGTTTCCATTTGACAATTTCTACACAAATTCTTAAGTGACATTAGTTACATTTATCACAGTGTATCAACATTCTCTTTAATTGTGTTCTGTTTGTTCCCTCTCCAGTACTCTAGTTTCCCTGCCCCCTTATCTTCTCATCTTTGCTTTTGAGAAATTGTTGACCATTTCATCTCATACTGATGGTTTTTATGTAGGTCACCAATCTTATGGGTAATATTCTTTATTTTGTGTGCCATTCTGCTGTTTTGCTAAAAGGTGATCTCGGGGGATAGGCTCGGTTCTAGGTTTAAAGGGTGTCTCATGGCTATAGTCTCAGGGTGTCCTCTGTTCTCTACTGTTCCAGTTTGTCTGGCTGTGTTTTAAATTTTTTTTTTATAAGAATTATTTCTGCTTCATATTTTTCTCCCACTCTATCTGGGGCCAACTATTGTGGCCCCAGTCAGAATGGTCAGTGGTAGTAGTCAGGCACCGTCTAGTTCTCTCTTTTTTAATATGAGTATTGGAATAAAGATAATTATGTATAGACTATCATTCTGATAAATTAGATTTTGATAAGAACATTTAATACGGATTTTTTTTTTCCCCTAAATGTACTTTGTGGGAGACAGAAGTGCTTTACTAAAAAGGTAGTTAGTTGCCATGTGACAGAGGTACATTTTGAAAGCTGTCCAACTGATTTCCTTAAAGGGGAGTGATATGCTATGAGATACTCATTTTGAACTATGACATATGTGTATTAATCATATCTTTATACAGTGAAACCTGTGAGAGCCGGAACTTGATGGGACTACCCTGTTTTTGCAGGTCTTGCAAGTTTCCACCTTTGACAGCGTGCAGTCTTATCACCTTTGTAATGCTTGTTTTAGTGGAAAATATTTGAGTTTCCCTTCTTGGACAGGTTTCTGCCTTACACAGGTTCCAGCTTTCACAGGTTTTACTATACCATATGAGAAATGAATATATAAAGGTATGAAATATATTTGTGAAGCCAAATTTTTCTAGAAATCTCTTCAGTTAAGTGTGCTTCCTTTCCTGCCTAACAACTCTTAAGAATCTAAATATTATCCCTAGGTATGAAAGTGATGTCTCTTGATAATAGTTTATTCATCTAAGACTTAATGTACTAGAATGAACAGAATTGCCTTAGATGCGAGTCAAGTATTATTCAGGAAAGAGTGATACGCAAATGTGACCGAAATTTTGGAAATGTATTCATGGCTTATACATTAAGGAGAAGAAGAAATATTTCTTGAATATTCTTTTAAGGCATTAGTATGTTTCTTCTTAATTTAATTCTGTCCTGGGCTTGCTTGCCTTCTTTTCTTTGTAAATAAGAAGTGATGCTAAGAAGGTAGATTACCAGAGACAAAGATTCTTTGTTAAGGATTCTTTACTGAATGTTGCTAACTTTCTTTTCCAAGGTATCTGATGGCCAAGAGTCTACACCACCTACACCTGCACCTACTTCAGGAATTGTGGGTGCATTAATGGAAGTGATGCAGAAAAGGAGCAAAGCCATTCATTCTTCAGGTATATTTATAAGTGTATATGTGTCTATTTAATAAATTTGAATGTTTGACACTTTCATTTTATAACTTAGTCTCTGTTGGCTTTTTCTCTGCTGATTGAGTAATATATTGATATGGGTTCCGGGGCTTATTTAAGGAAGCTATTGCCTCTTGACTAGTCTGTCTGAAACTTAATGGATGTCAGAACACCATAGCTGTAACATAAATTTCAGATACCGGTGAGTGTTATGAGGAAAACTTTTTAAAAATTAAGATAAGTATTGATGGGGGAAAGGTTAGATTTTACATAGGATATAAAGGCCTCTCTGAGGAGGTGAATTTTGAATGCAGCCTAAATGATGAGAATGAGTCAGCCAGACAGAAGGAATAGCTGCTGCAAAAGCTCTGAAGCAAGAATAAGTTTGGCATGTTTGAGGGACAGAAAGAAGGTCGTGTTACTAGAAACATTGAATTGAAAGAAGGGCATTATGAGACAAGGGGCAGGACAATAACTGGGCAAATCATGTAGGGTCTTGCAGAGCGAGGTAACACGTCAGATCTTATTGAAATCGCAGTAGTTCAGGCACTGGAGGACTCTAAGAAGGGTAGCAACATGATATTCCTAAAACTTACTACTTTTATAATAATATCACTCCATTTGCTCTGAGGATCTGAGGCAAATGGAGTGTAGATTTGCAATAATATAAGCAAGATAATGATGGTGATGTGGGGTGTAGCAGTGGAAGTGCTCAAAAGCAGCCGACGTGATGGATTAGGTATGAAGGATGATGGAAAAGAGAAATCAGTAATAATTTCTAGTTTTTTGTCCTAAATACCTGTGAGGATGGTAATGCCATTAATGGAAATAGGGAAAAGTAGTATGGAGGGGGAAGAGCCTGTTAGGAAAGGAAATAAAAATTTAGAATCTACTTTTGAGTTTGAGAATTCATGTGTGAAGAGTACAGGAAGGCAGTTGGATTTGCAATATGCAAGGCTAAAACTCAGAAAGACCAACCCAACTGTGAATTTACACATTAAGAAGCACACAGGTTGCTACTTGTTACACATATACCAAGTCATCTGACTCCTGTTCAGGTACAGAGTATCCAGTAAGCAAGGTAAGCACAGGCTTACTTACTAATCTGTAGTGAGCAATTACACAATGTGGTGAAACCCATGTGAAATTGTTCACTACAGATTAGTAAGCAAGCACAAGTAAGCTCGTGCTTACCTTGCTGATTAGATAATCCACCCCTGTTTTTATTCTGAAATTCAGCTCACTATCACACTCTCTAGATTTATTTCATTAGATTCATTGTAAACTATGTTAGTAACTAGATCCTTTCTGGAATCAAATGGTTTGTAATTCAGGAGTTAAATAATGGGAGAAATTACCCAAGAATTATGTAGTGTTATTTATATACAATGTTTTAATTGTTCATCTTGATCTTTTTTTTCTAGATGAAGATGAGGATGAAGATGATGAAGAAGATTTTGAGGATGATGATGAATGGGAAGACTGATCAATATATATTATATATATATATTTTTAAGGTGAAATACTAAACACTACTTTCTGTCTATGGATTCTGTAAAATTATCATGTAAATGTTCTGCCAATTTGCTGTATATTTTTGTTGCCTTTTTTGCTTTTTTTATTAATCTGTGCAATACCTCATTTAATCTGTAAAGGTTTGTCATATCTTCTATAAAGCTACTCCCTGTTATTGTGTGCAAGATTACACCAGAATGCTCACTTTATTTGTGAATATTTTTCATTCCATCATCAAGGGAGTTTGAATATTGTGAGACTGACAAAAACCTTAATGTAATTTAGTTATAATGCCAGAAGGAAAACACTATTTTCATACCCTACTTTTTCTGTACCTAAATTTTCTTATTAAAATCTAGTATAGCACTACATTCTTTTTTAAGTGACGCAAACCTTAGTTTATTTAGCCCCTTCATTTTGAATACAATGCTAAATGAATGTTGAAGCAGATACATTGCAGTTCTTCAGACATCACTACACTCATGCAATTTCTCAAATGTTAGCAATATGCTGTACATAAAATCACTACCGAGATGCTCATGGGGAAATCAGTCACACACCTCTTACAGCAATATCGCCTGTGATTGTACACCAGTGGCATTTGGAGGCCGGAATCACAGGAGCACTCACATACCAGCACTTGACTGAAGTTATTTTTATGCTGTACCAAATGTTGCAGGCTCTTTTGGCAAAACAATTTTAAAATATTTTTGGTATTATTCTGAAACAGCCAAGTTATTTAAGTTGTCGGAGTTTGGGGCATTATGGCGAGAGTTTCATTCTACATGAGCTGAAAGGCTGTGCATTGTGGTTACTCCAGTATTTGGTTAAAAATACCATAAAAATCAGAACAGATAAAAATGGTGTGGAATTAAGTATCTGTATTTTTCAGCTGATATGGGTTGAGATATTCAGAAAAGTCTAATCTCGAAAATTGCAAATATATGCCCTATAATGCTAAACCTAATACGCTATATATTTTAATTTTGGTAACTTCTCAAGGTTTTTGTCAAACGTCGGGTGAAGGGTTACATTTTTCTTAAAAGATTGGTGGTCTTAATGTCAAATTTCTTGGAACACATAACTGAATGATAGATTTTTTTAAAATAAAATTTTACAACCTGCACGTTTGTTACACATACTAAATAGTGTGTTACAATTAGGATTTCCTTGCCTCTCTACAGTATACTAATCTGCCTAAGGTGGTGGTTTCCCATTTATAGCGCTAACTATCATACCTACCTACTTTAAATTTTAGGTAGAAAATGATGGGATTTAAATACAGACACATATTTTTCTCACTTTGAGTCATATGCAGAATGTAGTTCCAAATGCATTTCATGGCTATAGTCACAATATCCAACTAAAAACTAAGCTGTCTAGAATTGTACCGACCAAAATCTGGTGTTGGCATGATCTTGACAGGCTGGACCTGCAAGATGTGGCTTGGATTTTAACCAGTTATCGCATCATCTCTAGTGATCATGCATCTATTTAGAATAAGAAATAATTTCAAGGGTTTTGTTGCTGAAAGCAGTAAGTGGTACCGTAAAATAGTTAAGTTATTCAGAGAATGTTAACCTTCCTTGCAAGAGTAATTTAAGCACATGGAAAAGATTCTAGACTTTTTGTTTCTTGCAAAAACAGTGTCCTCTGCTGCTACAAACTTTTTTCCGCTTAACGTTTCTTTTTATCGTGGCTTGAGTTCAGTGAGTCTGGGGTGGATGAGGCTGGACAACTATTAACCAATAGAATTAGGAATTTGTGAAAATGGTAAATAGAACATTATAATTATTTTAAATAACATTAAGCATTTTCCTTTTTTTTCCCCTCCTTTTTGACATTATAAAAAACATTTTAAATTTTCTAGAAATGTCTTAAGGTAATGCCAGTTTAAGACCTCTCAACTTTTGGCCAAGGAATTCAGGATTTTCCAGCTAACTTTGGTATGATAAAAATTATCAGGAACTGCTCTGAGCAGAGGACATCAGTTCTTTAGGTTGGAAACACAATTTTAAACATGTAAGATGGGAGTATAATTTGCCAAAGGGTAATTGAGTTTATTCTTCCTTTTTAAAGAAAAAAAGTTTTGTTGTTGTTATTGCACGAAGTCTAAATTACTGTTGGTTGAAACACAGCAGCTGTGGCGTTCCGTCCAGGCATGATGACTAAATCTGCTTTACCAAGTGAGATGTAAAGTTTGCATGTTTCAGTCCTCCACCATCTTGCACTGTGGGCGGCACTATACCTGTGCATTGTCTGAAAGCCTCCTATATATACTCCAGCTAAATGATTGTCTGATAGCCTTCGCGTTTAACAAACTAGCATGAGGCTTTTTCTATCTAAACACTACGTGATAGACAATTTCAGCTAGCCACAAATTGTATGTATGAGATTCGTAAAGACTTTCAATCATTCATTTCCATTTATCAACTGAAATTTTGTTTAGTATGTGAATTTTTTTTTTTTTTTTTTCGAAATGTGTAGTGAATAGGATGTTGCACTGGTGGCAATTCATCATGGAGCATAATAAAATTAATTTGACCCAAATAGCATAAAGTAGTGTTTTTATTTGTTTATTATCAAGAGATTTAAATAGGTAAAATTCTTGAAACTGCTGGGTGTAGCACAGGGTACACAACAATGAATAATAATGGTTGAATTAGAAGACCGCATGCCCTCAGAGTTAGAATGTGCTGTTAAATAAACATAGTGAGCAGAGGAATGTTACACCGTGTTCTGTTGGGAGCTTGACAGCTGCTCCACAGCTCCCCTGGACGCCACACTGCAAGGTCAACGACTCGGGACTTTTTCACTTACCAAAAATGTTAACATTCCCTACATCAGAGTGATACTAGAGTTTACTGGTAATTTCAATAAAAGCCAAATATAGCAATTCATGTGGGACTTGAACAGCTTTTAGTAAACAACATCAAAGATGGTGCTCATTTTAAACAGGAAACTCAGCTTTTGATAAATAGAATTTTCTATTCCACCGACCCTAGCACAAGTAGGTGTCTGAAGATTAAACTGAGTTATGGAATCCAGTGTGTAGGATGCTATAGAATGCTTTCTGGAGCTTTAGCCAAATTTAACAAGCATTTCAAGAATACTCTATTAAAAAGATGTTTCTGTTGTTTAAATGTGAACGTTTAAGAATACCTCAACTTTTTTTTAAAAGAGAAATGTGCCTTAAAATTCTTCCTATCACATCATATTTATCTAATCAATGGAGAAATTCCTGAAATGATTGACTCAGCTTTAGGAGTGGAGTTCCTAAAGGACAAGTATAAAGATAAGGTCTATTTATAGTACAATCCAAACCCTTTATTGAAAAAGTTGGAAAATTTTACCTTGCACATTTATTTTACTGGCATTGTCATATCTCACCTCAAGAACACAGCATTCTCTTGTAATCTCTTGGTAATTTATTCATGGATTTCATTTAAAAACTGCATTTTAGGGAAGCTAGTAGGATAGAAGGCGTAGTAAACTGGCTGTTAAAAATATGATGGCGACCATGCTTTGCAGCCAGTACTAAGCCTTTACTTCTGTATGTTATAATAAGGTACCTCCATTGCCATTAGGGAGCCTATTGAAAAATTTGGCTTTGTAACTAACGATGTCCAGATATATCTGCCACAGCTTTTTTTTTTTAAATATACATTGATGGCTATACTAACCATATATTGATACAGTATTTAATCTCACACAAGTCTAGTTTAAATCAAAACTGGATAGGTGCACCACCATCAGGACTGAAAACTCAAGGTAAGAATGGAACACAGTTATTTTGAGTAAGATACAAAGATAGTAGCTACATAGGTGGTTTTCAGTTTAGTCATATATTTCTACTTAGTGGTTGGGGAATTCCTAGTAAATTTGAACTGACTCCTAATTCTTTAACAAAAACAAAAATCTATTATACTTGGTAAAGTATTTGAGAGGAAATTCCATTTTAACAGTATAAATTTGCATTATGGAATTTAAAACAAAAGACACTATTTTCTGTTTTGAATTGGTTGTCATACTGTGACTCAAATTTAGTTTTATATTAGTTATTGCTGGATATGTGAGGATTTTCATCAACGTTTAGTTATAAGAATTTCTTAGAATTCTAGTTTGAAGGAGGTTAGTTAGAAAGCATCAACATCACCATGTTTAAACAACCATTTATTAAGAACTAAGTATGTAGTGGGCATTAAGATACAACAGTGAAGTAAGATAGGCTGCCCACCTTAAATCTAAAAGTGCTTATATCACAACTGAAAGACACATGAAGACCACTGAGTTAGAGCAGAACAGGCACACGGAGACCAGTGATCCTAGTCTTCCATTCCACAGGTAAAAGCACCCATACTCCCAGTGGTTGAGGGGCTTGCTAATGCACCATAATGTCTTTTTATTCTTTTTTTCCTCTTTCTGTTTTTCTTAAAGATAAATTGCAGATTTAATTTGCATCTGAAGAATTTATGGCTATAAATTTCTCCCTTTATTTTTCACATGTCATGTGGACATTGATAGAAGCCACCAGCATCCTGTACTTATCTGCCCAGGAAAGCTGGC